CTAAAACAGAAACAACTTTTGAAAGTGTAATCTTGGGTTTCCTTAATCTGAGACTTTACCACAAATCAAATTGTTATAGCAATTAAAAATAAGAAATATAACGAGATGGAAAACTTAAATGCAATTATAATATTCATTTCTTGATACACATAATTATCACTAAAATGAACTCTGTTTGTTACATGGATAACAAATGTACCTGATTTTTCCGTTAAATTTTTGATGTACGGTCATTCACGGTTACCAAGACAATAGGGATGGATCTTGAAAATGAATATCTTAAGTCCTGAAATTAATTTTCTGTTTTTCTCTTGAATCCTGGAATACAAGTTTTAAAATTTCTTTTAACAATATTAAAATAATAAAGATACTGTTCAACATCTCAGAGTTTCTCAGGAAAGATAAATATCAACAGTATATTCAGTAGCAGAACTGACAATTATTTTCATCACTGAAACCGTGTAATAAGAACATTTTACGTTATGTGTATCACCAAATATACATGTTGCTGTGGGTGAACTTTTATTAAAAGAAACACACAACTATGACACAAGGTTAGGAATTAAACTGCAGTTTTTGTTTCATGAGTAACCAAGATAATGAATTTGAGAAAAAATCAAGCAGGAATGGTCCTTCACAGACACAGATCTCATTTTATATTATGTGAAGCATTAAATATTATTCAATATTACATGAACCCTTAAAGAATATTTTCTTGTGTCATCACATTGAACTAAAGATTCATCCAATTCCAAATAATGAGCCTTTGAAAAAGCTATAGTAACTAATCCATCTTGAAGTGGAGAAAAAACAATAAAAACACCTTAATTGCAAAAAATACATAGTAATAAACACAAAGTACTTTGAAGCACGTTACTGATAGTAGATGTTTAGAGGTCTTCATTCACAGAGGAAGCATACATTTAAGGTTTGTGGAAAGATTCAAACCAACGGTTTATTTGACTGGGTAAAGAATCTCCTAAAAAAAATAAAACTCCTGTTTGAAAACTAAAGAAATTAAACGAAACTTGGAATAAGGTTCAGAAACTTTATACCGAAGACCATCACGGACTAATATCTTCTTTTGTAGTGGTTTTATTAGATACTTTCCTTTCAACATTTTTTTTTCCATAAAATAACTTAATAGTTGATTTTATTGTACCAAT